ATTATCCGTAGAAACATATTCATAACTATTATAAGTAGGCTTATCGGATTAGCATATTTACGTATTTATCATTAATAATAATATACATATTTTTATTTTTAAAATATTTGAAGATGCTTTATCAATGACAAGTCGTTGACACTGAAGGTGATAAACTATATTGTATAATCGTGTTTTAATTTGTTACATTCTTTTCATAATCAGTTTAGGACACAATTTTATTTTTTTTTATATCAAGAACAACAGGTAGTATAACATCGTAGAGAAGTAAATATTTAGAAGAGGATTAGACAAGGTTATAAGAATGCATATTCGCACATAATTTAGAAGATATAATTGTTATTATTAAAGACAGGACAATTTTAAGGATAGTCATGCAAAGACAAAAGATGAGCAACAATATAATACTTGGGTTTGCGGATATGACAGTATATGCCTCTAGAAAAAAGGAGTTATTAAACATAACTTTAATAAAATGGTAAGAAAATTAATAAAAATAAAATAAAAGTATTGGCGTGTAAGGGATGCAATATGAGAATAAGAGACGAGAAACTAAGTGGGTGATTTTCGATATTCAATAGGGAGTGATCTAACTTAAGATGGGAAATGATAAATGCGAAGATTGTCTCAAGGTACAAGAAAAAATGAAGGTATCCTATCAATCTTTGGGTTGAAGACCTTATGATGATGATAAAAGGGTTTTTAAACGTTTAGTTTTAGAATAAATGTCAGTGTGATTATGATAACATACTGACTATATCATAGATATTAGGCTTAAGATAAATTTTTTCATTTTTCTTCTTTTTAATGATACGTATTTAAAAAGAATTGTTCGTAATCGTTTGTAAAACTATGGATATCTAGCAGTATTTTTAAGTAGGTATTTATGTAATTTATAACGGTGAAACTGAAAATTGACTTGAAATGATGCTGCCGTGGATATAGAATGGTAATTAGTATGGAATCATAAGGGTACGTTGTAAGGTTCCAAAATAAAACCAATATGTATCAAAATAAAATCAATGTATTAATAAATTCGCAATTAAAATTAATCGTTAAAATCAGCTTTAGGCAAGAGTTTAAATTTTGAAATTAGTCCACTCGGTTACATCTTTTATAAAAGTGGCTTCGGCACGAGCCAATAGT